ATTTATATATATATATACAGTACATGTCTTAAAGCAAGGTCTTGATCTTTTCTTCCTTTGTATCTGCACACTGATACCTAGAAGTGAAACAATACACACTAGCCCGGAGAGCAAATTGTACCGCCTCTCAATCTTCAAACACACTAAGTTTCAAACCTACTATAAGAAGTACGTGATCGTACCACAAAACGGAAATTGATGGTGTTTCTCAAGACTATAAACCATGTAAATCCTGTATCAAAAGGCGAAACTTACATACAAAATTAAATGTTATTCAATGATTTTAATGACCAGGACGAACCTCAAATATCGACTGCGACAACTGAAAGGACTTGCTATTTCACAGCAGTCGCTTTGGACAGGAAAAAATGACGAATTCTGTGTTGACCAAAAATCTGCTCAAAGCTGCCCCTGGGATCTAGCCTGGGATCTAGAGAACTTTGCCCTTTCAAGTTTGCACTGAAAAACAATAAGATCCAAGCAGGCCAAAAATGATGCGTAAAGCAGAAACTTCATGTGGGACAACGTCAAAACAAGATCTTTGTGCCTCGCAAATCCGCGGCTCGCTCTTCTGAACAAGTTGATGGGAGACAGCCAGGCTAGGCGAGTGCCGCTCTCCTTCACTTGTTTCAACCTGCCCGACGCGTTCGATTTTTACTATTCAAAGCAGCAAATGACAAAAGTCAACTCAAGCTGGTTAAGATACATACATCATATGGACGTGTATATATATATATATCCTGAGCCGCCATCAAAATCAATTGCCTACGCCTGGTGCAAAAATAGGTTATCGCCGCTTTTTGTTGGGGGTCCTATCGCTTTACAGCATTTGGTTCAAATCAGCACTAAATACTACAATGCAGCGAAATTGCGTTTCATCAAGATTTCCAAGAAATTGCTGTTCATCAAGATTTCCAAAATTGGCTTCATCAAAGACTTCAATTTTTTTAAAAAAATCTTTGTTCCTTTTTTTTGCAAGAATCTGTCGTGTCCTTTTCTTGTTGCTTGGCTGGTATTTTAGAAAGAATGCCAATGGGATCAAATAAGTCTATCCCTCGTCCGGGGCCCCTCTTTTCAACAAAAGGCTATTGCTAGGTTATCGCTATCTTCTTTTAGAACGGGAAAGAAAGAAGAACGTGGGACCAAAAAGAAAATTGAAAAAACAAATTGAAAAAGGAACAAGAAAGCAAAAAGAAGGAAGAAGAAAGGACAAATTGAACAAAAAGGACATAAATAATCAGAATTGAATTTAAATTATTGATTGTTGATTTAACTCAGAATTCAATTGCAATTAGTGTAATTTAATTCTACTGCTTTGGGAGCTGGGAGAAAAGCAAACTGGCTGCAGAAAGCAACAGTTCAATCACCTTGGACAACAAATGATATCGCAACTGCAAGAAACACAGGCACTACAGGTTGAATTTTCTTCATCAATTTTGCCCATTGCGTGAAGGTACACAACAAGATTTGCTTGGTTTACATCAAATTTAATGCATTCTCATATATTATATGGTTACAAGTTATCGTTTTTGGGAGGTGCCTATCGCTTTACATGGTTTGGTGCACTTTCTCAGTACAACTGCGCTCCTCCTTAGCAAAGTAGTCTATGCTTATTCCGACTTCCTGCCTCATTTCTGCAGCACGACTTCTAAGCTCCAAACTTTGGGAATTGTTGTGGTGGCTCGGATTCAATGAGATCTGCTGCAGAACTCAGCAGAGGCCATGGTTCCACCTCGCAAATGCTGATCACGGTGGCACTTTGTGGGATAATTTCATTGCAGCAAATGCAGAATCTATCAGAATCTTGTATTTTGATGTATTTTGTTGCGCCTTCCTCAGAACCTGCATGTCCATGAACTCCTGCAGCATGGCGGCGCTACCAGCACTTCCAAGGAACAGAATGCACAAACCCGTGTCCAACAGCCACAAAAGATCACAAAAGTATACAAAGACGTTGCAAAGGTAAGGTCATTCAAAGCTTAGAAATGGGGTAGGAATAATGTGGAAATGTCTCACTTCCTTGGTCTGAAAGCAACCCTCCTCTGCCAGCTGCGCAGAAGCCTTCTGGGACTGCCTAAAGCCAAGAGATCAAAGCTGGGCTGAACTGGTCACAAAGACTCGCAGTTTCGGAGTTCTTACTGAACTTATAGGAGGTTTTTGTCAAGCTTAGCTATGTGTTCGATAAAAGAACGCCTGTTCACCTCGAAGGAGCGCGTAAAGACTGCTGCTCCGAAAGCTGGGAATAATGCACACCTATCAGCGAGGTGGCAGCGTTGGATCAATCTCTTGGGACAGAAAAGTCAAATGTACAACATATGTAATACATATGTAACATGGGACTGAAAGCATCGGAAACCAAGCAACCCCTCACAATTTGGTCAAGGAGCAAAGGCAGCGAATACTCTACCAGTGCTGTGGCGATCAAGGTGCTCACCTAGTCACGGACGATTGAACCGAGACCCGAAAAGATTTCACAATTGCCCAATTGCGGAAACTTATCAATTCAGCGAAGAGACATCTGAGATGCACACCACTGCAAGAGCCGTACGGTATGGCAAAGCCCTTGTAGAAAGCTGAGCCAACTGTGACCAAGCATCAGCTGTGGCCACGACGCAGCCCGCTCTGGCAACACTGCCTCAAAATCTTTGAAACTGTTAGTTTGTGTTTGTAAACCGAATACAGCACAAAAGTGTTGGTTGGTATTTCTTTCCGAAGAGCTGCTTGGTGACCTTCCACCTCCGTTTTGATCCCTGCAAACTCGTTCAGATGGATACGGACTTGACACCAAACACAGGGACCCCTCCAAAATGGAAAAAAAGGAAGAGAGAAAAAAAAATCGACGAAACAGGTTTTGGAGAACCTCAAAATTTGACTCTTCATGCTGGATCCACCCTGTCGTGGTAGCGAAGCATTTCAAGTCCTCTATGACTTATGATGTCTCTTCTTTGCTGTGTTCGGTGAACCAGCTCGGCAAGGTCAAATTCAAGTCCACGCATGACATCCCCACCTGTGGCATTTGCCAACTGCAGCGAACTCTCTGCCATAGCAACGGCAATTTCAGCAGCAAAAGTCGCACAGGCTACCGTTGCTCGCCCATGCAAATTAGAAGGGAAGACCAGAGCAAGTGCCAGTGGAAGCATCCAACAATTCCTGAACGCTGAGAATCTAGCGTCGGCTAGCTGTGTCTTGGTGATTTTGATGCAAAACAGATGTTGACTGTCGTTGGCCATTTATCGGGTTATCCAGTTTTTACAATTGAAATTCTCGCAGTGAGTTTGTCAGCAGCCTTGGGAAATTGTGTCCCTTTTGCTATGGAGCGATCAAATCCTACATATTTTCAGATGAGTTGCTGTTGGTTGTTTGTTCATGCAAAAACAAATGCAACGAATCTACTAAGACACTCTGATCATAACATCATCACAACAAGGATATTGACGCGCACATCATCTCTCATGGCGTGCGTTCCTATATGGATACCATCCCACACCGAGGGAACACACCGCCACAATATCTGGCACACCGTGTATCGCCCTTTCCTGTCTAGATATTACCTTCTCTGCATTTATTAAGCCTGGGGCACAGTCATGACAAGACCTGACCATCAGGGGCAATCTACCAAGCCCGCGCTCAAGCGAAAGAAGGTATCACTTGGAGCACGAACTCGGCAAAAAAAACTTGGACGTAGCTAGGCATTCCAATGAAAGCACTTGGTGATCGGCATTCTGGAACACAAAACGCAGGACACTTGACCGCACCCGACCGGTCTAGACACAGTACAGTTTTCCACCCACAACTGCTGGAGACAGGATACGGACAGTGGGAATCTCGTCAATCCATTCATGCGCGTCACTGATTAGATGACGAGGCATGTGGCTACGTTAAGAGAGTCGTAGTTACTTACTCCCACCGTTTACCCGCGTTTGTTTGAATTTCATCACTTTGACATTCAGAGCGCTGGGCAGAAATCACATTGCGCCAACACCTTCTGAGGCCATCGCAATGCTTTGTTTTCACGGGATTCACACTACGCTGATTCCCTTCCCAAAGAATCAAGTCAGTCGTTTGATTGGCCGCGGCCCTTGAGCCAATTGAATGGTTTCAGCCAAAGTTGCCACAGTCGGAGGTCTTCACTGGGAACCCGCCCTTCCCCCAGCCAGAAGGGCGAAGACCCCCGTGAGCCAAGAACCCAGTCGGTGCTGATTCCCCTTTCATCCCTTCAGCGTGGAGTACGCAAAAACTCCAAAAGCTTAAAACACTATTTCCCACCCTTGCAGGAAAATTTGGATGGTCGATCCATGCACTGCTCCGGATCTTCCAAACTCTTTTGAATTCAGTCTCAGAGCTGCCACCAGAAAGCGCAAAAGCTTACCCGCCGATGAAGACCGCCCAGCAGCCGCTGATGTTTTTTGGCATGGCTCGCCAGCGATGGTCTTTGGCTCCAGCAGCTGTTGTTCTTCTTCCGGTGATAGCGCTAAGTTTCTTTGTTGGACGCTCTTCGGAAAGTCTACTTTTTTCGTGATAATTGATTTCTCTTCTTGTTGGGGATTTTCCCTTGCCACGGACCTTTTCCCAAACTTGTAAGCCCTCGAGCTGCCACAAGGTTCCCAACATCTTGGAAACCTGACCTCACGACATCCGCATCACGATGTTGGGTTTCTTCGGACCCAACGCGATCCGTAGAGAGGGTTTCCCGCTGACCACTTCCAATGATGATCTCAGGGATGTGTCCCTCTTTTTCTGGATTGTGCTCTTGGGGAGCATGACCGTGATGATCTTGCACCCGAAAAACTCTCAAAATTGGTGACATCCTAAAACTTAACCCATATAGGCTTAGAACTACCCCCGGTGGACCCATTACCCCGTTTAAGGATACCCTTATACCTTTCTTTTTCAGGATGGTCTTCTTGTCCAGGCGTGTCCTTCTTTATCAAGAACGGCGTCACAGATCCCAGATCCAACTGGTCCAGAACCGTTTCGGCCTCCATGCGATGAGTTTCAGCAGAAATTTGGATCAGCCTTTCAACGGCGACCGCCTCATTTCTTTCTTTATTTTGGGCCGGCTCCCAATCCTCGTCAGGCATGCCTGCCACTTTTTCCACGCCTGCCACGCACTTGCAGGTGACACCCCAATTTTCTTGCCAGGGACCTTCTTTGTTGCCGTGGTCACCTTCTTCCAGTTGGTGTTCTTCAAGACGCGCAATCCCCTTCGTGGATCTTGCCCTTGAAGTGTGCACTTGTTGATCTTGTCCCGGATCTACACTTGGAAATTTGGCGTCCAAATTTTGTTGATGTTCCAGGCTGACTTTTCTGACGATGAACTCCCCGAGTTTGGACTTCCAACCTCTTTTGCAGGTGCCTCCCCCGAGCCTTGGTCGTCTTGTCCTGAAACTTTGAAGCGCAAAAGCTTGAAACTTTGGAACAGATACTGGGCTCCCCCCCTGCTGGTTCATCAGCAGGCTCCTTTTCAAATCTGGAGATTTTGGTAAAAATGTTCGAAGGAAGTTTAGAAGTCAAACTTCCGACAATATGGACAGATGAAAAGCAGAGATGGGAAGAGTCAGAGAAGAGAAGAGAAGAGAAGAGAAGAGAAAAGAAGAGAAGAGAAGAGAAGGAGAAGAGAAGAGAAGAGAAGAGAACAGAAGAGAAGAGAACAGAAGAGAAGAGAAGAAGAGAAGAAGAGAAGAAGAGAAGAAGAGAAGAAGAGAAGAAGAGAAGAAGAGAAGAAGAGAAGAAGAGAAGAAGAGAAGAAGAGAAGAAGAGAAGAAGAGAAGAAGAGAAGAAGAGAAGAAGAGAAGAAGAGAAGAAGAGAAGAAGAAAGAAGATCAAAAAAGAGAAAGTCTCAGAAGAAAGAAGATCCAGGTGCGCGAAAAGGTAGAAGAGTCGCAAAATACTGTGTTTTTCCAATGATTTGTGGCTCCGGGGGGTCGAAAAGTAGGCTCGCTAAAGCAGCAGGTGCGGAGCCAGCTGGCCAGATGAGAGATGAAAAATTGCACGTCGTTGTGGCACGAAGCACATTTCTAAGTCAAAATGGACAAAATTTGGAACTTGTGATGTCGAAAAAGCGCACGCCCTTGTGGCGCGAAGCTGCGAAGTACATGTCGAAGTCAAAAGTGCAAAAAAATTATGGGTTCCGAACACTTTTGGACGTTCAGATGTCGCTTTGCCTGGCAGGCGCAAGGGATTGTGCACCTTGTCAAAAGTGAGCAAAACGTGAGGATTTTGCGCCATTTCCAAAAACGATGGCAGGCGCGGAACATTTGAAGAAGATCTGTTTTCCGTGGCAGGCGCAGTACAAGAGACATGCTCATCAGAGATGTTAGGAGGTTAGGGCGCTGATTTCCTGAGAGGGGTTGCATTTTGGAGCATCAGGCAGCACTTCATATGACCTGGCATCAATTTTTCGTGGCAGGCGCAGTACTTTCGACAGGTGGAATGGAAAAATCGCAAAACGCATTGGTACGAGGCCGTCAGCTCTGCACTCAACCTTCCATTTTTGAAGGAAGTCTCGCAGAATTGCTTCGTTTTGGATGTTGTCAAGTTCAAAAATTGAGGAAGTCTCGCAGAATTGCTTAGTTTTTGATGTTGTCAAGTTCAAAAATTTGGGAGTCTCGCAGAATTGCTGCATTTTCAAGCTTACAGATAGACAGACAGACAGACAGGCAAACAGACAGACAGACAGACAGATAGACAGACAGATAGATAGATAGATAGATAGTTACAACTACAACTACAACTCGAACTACACTACACTACTGCTACAACTCTAAATACAAATATACTACGCTACATTACACTACACTAATTACACTACACTACACAACACTACACTACACTAATTCCATCTAATTACACTACACTACACCAAGTACACTACAACAACAACTACTACTACTACTACTACTACTACCACCACTACCACCACCACCACCACAACTACAATTGCAACTACACTGCACTACGCTAATTACACTGCAGTACGCTACAGCTACAAGTACAACTACAACGACACCCACACTGCATTACACAACGCTACACTGCACTGATTACATTGCATTACACTACAACTACCACTACAGCTACAACTGCAACTACAACTACAACTACCACTAAACTACACTACATTACACTACACTACACTGCACTACACTACAACTACAACTACAACTGCAACTACAACTGCACCACCGTACACTACGAGAGACTACACTACACTTTACCACACTACACTACACAACACTACCGGACATTACACTGCACTACAATACACTAATTACACCACACCACGACTACAACTGCAACTGCATTTGCAACTAGACTAATTACACTACATTACAACCACAACTCCGCTCCACTACACTACACTACAACTATAGCTACAACTGCAACTACAACTGCAACTGCATTACACCACACTACATCCAGCAGTTGTGGTAAGGTGACCACTGCAACCATTGCAACCCTTCCAAAAAACACAACTCCAACCACCAACAACCAACCTCTCCTATAGGTTTCCTATTTTTTGAGACTTCTGCCACCGCCTTGCGCGGTACTACTGGTATCCGATGCTTCCAGCGTGAAACATCGGTTGGTCCTCTTTTCCGTGTCCATGCGCTCGATCTCGAGAGCGTCATCTTTTCGGACCACTGGACATCCAGATCACAACCAGCATTCGGTCTTTCCTAGTCTTGGGTGTTTCACCACACATCCCGCGCGGGACCATGTGATGGCGTATCCCAACTCCACAAGTCCTCTGGGAGGAACTATAGATTCTACCGGTGTCTCCGATAGAACCAATCCATTCATGGGATTTTGGTAGAGCCGTGGCTCCTTGAGCCACTGCACTGCGTTCTTGATCTCGTCGCTAGTTCCCTGTCGGAGGGGGTGCGTAGCACCTCCATCCAGGAGACCTGTTCCTTCAACTTCGAGATCCCATGCCCCACCAACTTCAGCACCGGACCAGCGATGCTTTTCAGGGGGTGATTCACTTCTTGAACCGCTTGAGCGGCTCGTTCGCCCGGGATTGATCGATTTTTTCAGGCTGACCTTTACGGTTTTCGCTTCACACTGTCCACATTCAACTCTCTTACCAGTGGACTTCAGCATGGGTCCGGCAATGCTTTCGCCTCATCCAATCCACCTTCAATGCTTTCTGACGCGCCCGCATCTCTTTCTTCTTCTGACTCACTTTGCGATTCACGCGACTCACTTCTGTTCCCAACAGCACACTGACGCCTGGAGTGCCCTTTTCCAGAACAGTTGAAACATCTTAGATCCTTTGCGTGAAGAACAGTGTGCACAAAGCGACACTTATCTGCATACTGGCATTCCTTGTCGGTCAGCCAATGTTTACAAGCTGTCTTGTGAACTACTTAGGCCGCATTGATCGGCAATCGGGTTTGGCTCCCCTTTTTGCACTGGAGGACCCTTCAGCGGATTCGGACTCTTCCTTTTGACGACGGTTTTGCTGAACGCCAGGCCCACTCACCGATTTCACTCCCACCAGAGCGGTGGTCTTGGGCTGCGAACCTTTCTTCAGCCTCGGCTTGAAGAAGCTCCTTTGCACCGGATTTCGTTCATTCCTGGCCGGAGGTCGATACCCAAATGCTGCCTAAGGCACCATGGCAAGCCGGTCTCCAGCTTGAGCTCCCCCCACTCTAGCCAGTGCATCACTCAATTTTGCGACCACTCCAGCCATGACCACCGTGTCAGGCAAGACTATCTGAAGTTCTTCAGCTCGGACTACCCGCCTTCTCCATTTTCCGATAGACGCGGCAATTTAGACATGATCTGGTCAGTTGACATCCTTCGATTCGAGACCAATTCCTCGTGGATGTCCGCTGGCAGCCATTGCTGGTACGCCTGTTCCACCGACGTCATAATCATCATCTCCCATCATTGAGCCGAAGTATAGCCAGCTAACATCCCAGATCATCGGTCTGACGATTGTCAGACAGTCTCCAAAAACCAAAATCTGTTGAGTTCCGTCTGAACTTCTCCCAGAACGCGAGGTGCAGCAGGCGGCATCGCTTGCTGTTGTGCTGGAACTTGTCCTGGATTTCCTGGATAACCTCCTGGTTGACCACCTGGCGGACCTGGGGCTTGGCCCGGGTTGTCTTAATGGTGTTGTGGCGGGGCACCATCCTAGCCATACTTTCCCATAGGTCCGGTGTTTCCTCCGGGAAACCACATCCAACCCGGGTTGATGTCCTTGTTCTGCAGGCGCTCCTCCACCTTGTGCTTGAGGGTTCCCCATGTCGCCTTGTTGGTCACCGATAAAGAAATACCTTGTGTTTTCTGTTGTCCGCAGGCCTTGATTTCTCATCGGTTGTCTTCGGTTTGGATTACGCACGCCTTCCAATAGCATGCCAATCATCCAACCATAATTCATATACATATCCATGTCGATGTTCCGGCTCGACCCTTGGAGGAGGAGGTGGTGCAGCTACCACTGCTCCCCAACTTTCATTAGCAATTGAACGCCTTGTCCTTGTGCAGGATTGAGCTCAATGCTCTTCTGCTCCGGAGACGCTGTTTGGTAAAACCCTCCACTCGATTGTGGGCTCTTGTGTCCTCCCCCAGCCTCTCGGGCCCGGTCACGTTCGAGACCACTTTCACACGTGGCTCCCATGTTATCCAACTCTTGCTGGATAGCCGCCCGGCCACGCAAAATTCTTTGTGGCGCTGCGGGATAAGTGGATTCTTTCACATGAGTTAGTAGACTGCTCGTCAAAGCTTCCACTCGCTTTGCATCACTCCACGGGTTCATTTCCTCCATGGCCATGACCACACGCACATATTGGGATGCCATTTCACGTGGCGGCACGCCAGCACACATTGATTGTTGGGACAATCCAACGACATTGGAACCTTGCGGTCCAAAATAGTGACCGATACTACCTTGCGGCAGTGCATTTTGAGTGCCATAAACCACAGGCGCTCCCATTGATTGTTGGACCACAAGCGGTCCCATTGGTGCAGCCGGCATCATTTGAGGTGCTCGGACACCTTCAGGAGATTCACCCATAAATTGACCCAACCGACCGATCCAAAAGAGCGAAACTCGAACCGACCACAGCAGCACTTACACCTCCGTTTGGGCTTCGGTCTTTCCTGCTCCGTCCTTCTTCTCGGTTCTCCACATTTGGTATCTCGCATCGCAAGGTCCATCAGACAGCCGAGTAACTGCTGGCAAGTGCTCCATTTGCACCCTGCAAAAATTCAAACCGCTCACGCCTGGGGTCAACCCAGACAATAACCCACCATTCCCACTTTCTGGTACCACTTCAAGTCCAGGAGGTTCTTCAAGACTTCTTCCACTGCCGCCGGATTCTGGGATCTTCTTTCGCCCGCTCCAGCCTGCACCGCCGCGACTTGCACTAAGGCTTCCCTTTCCCGAGCACCAGTCGATGCCCCGACACCTTCTCCAACTTCCCTTGCCATCGATGATCTTCGGGTCGAGTCTGGTGGTCTTGTCCCTGATTTCTACTTTCCCAGGTTTGTTCATGTCCTCCAGAAGCCGATCCAGCATCTCATCAGCCGTCTCAGCACGTTCTTCTTTTCCATGGGACCCATGTTGTACTTCTTCAGCACGGGCAGCCACCTGACCTTGGTGTTCTTGTCGACGCTGAGTGAAGTCGCTGCTCGACATGGCTTCAGGACAGCGTTGGGGTTGGGCTCATAACCCACGGGTTTCACACTGCGCTGATTCCCTTCCCAAAGAACCCCATCAAGAGGCAGATGCAGCTGCACCTTTTCCTTCAGATTGGACTCAGCGTTGAGCCAGTCATTTGATTGGCCCTTGAGCCAATTGAATGGCTTGAGCCAAAGCTGCCACAGTCGGAGGACGCTCAACGACCATGGAAAACTTTGAAAAACTTTCTTATGGGGGTGCAATGGTACTCTGTGCTGGTTTCCCAACCGCAGTTTTAATTAAACAGTCGGATTCCCCTTGTCCGCTCCAGTTCTGAGATGGTTGTTTGCTGCGCAGGGAACATATAGAAGGGCGCATTGATAGATTTACTTTCTGTTGTTCTGGGCACAGACACTCTTGCAAGCGAGGTGCTCCTTCCAAAATCTCTTTGGAGCTGGCATAGGTGTGGCATCCACGCATCTCATTGCAGCAGCAACAAACCTTTCAACCTTGCGCCTCCTTATCATGGCCACAGAGCAGGCTGTGTATGCTGGGATAACCATCAGCATCGCAAGCGACTTCCAGAATTCCGATAGTTTCAGGATGCCCGAGAGTCCAGTGGCAACTGTCGCCAGTGTCGCAAGAGCCACATCGGTTGGAAATACGGCATATGAAAGGTGGCCACGGCCAAGGAAAGTCTCTGCTCGAGCTTCTTTGGTGAGAAGGAAAGCACTCTGCCGTTTTGCAACCGCAACTGCCCCTTTGCCAGCTGTTTCCTGCCAAGCCGTTGCTAGCCCAACAGTGCCAGTGGCCAACGGCAGAAAAAGCTCAGCTCCAACTTTACCAAGAAGCCAAGGGGATAACACGCTTCCCAGTACTAGCACTCCCGCTGTCGAGACCACCTGCCACTGACTCTGCTGCAATGTACCTTGAATTTCTTTGACTTCTTCGCCAATCTGGGCAACCAACTGCTTCACATCCATTTCGACGGTTTGTCTTCCTCGTGACTCACATATCGAGGGCGGATTTGTGACCACTACAATCCGCTGACTTGAATTCAGAGAAAAGGACTGCGATAGCATGCCAAGTTCCCCGGCAAGCAGGTGAACTTTGCGGCGCTGTTCCCGCGACAATCCGCGAAACTCTCGGTCCTGTCCCACTTCTAGACCCTGCAGCTGGTTGCGGATGCCTTCAGTGAACTCATCTGATGAAAAGTCTCTTCGGATTTCCCGGAAGTCGCTGAGTACAGCAGATGCAGTGTCCACGTTTGCTTCCATACCCTCCATGGCGCGCTGGGCTGCTTCATTTTCAAGGAACGCGGCGTCTGCTTCAGCACGCGATGTGACAGCGCTGACAGTGGAGTAGAATGTGCTGGCAACCTGGGCATGTAGTAAGTATATTGCCAGAATAATATATCATAGCAACGACAAGGACAACAATAACAACAATTCTGATGACGATACGAATGATATATGTAAATAAACATAACATAGACCCGGGCAAGCCGGCGGCGGAAGTTTCCCAAACATAAATGACCTATAGTTCAAAGACACCCTGTCCTGACCGTGTCCTTCCCTCGACAACCGTTTGATTTTTCAGCGAGAGACGAAGCAAAGTCTTCACACTCCACACTCCACACTTCACACTGCACTCTTCGCACTCCAAACTTCAAACTTCACACTCCACACTTCACACTTCACACTTCACACTTCTCACTTCTCACTGCTTCCTTCACACTCCAAACTTCACACTTCACACTTCACACTTCACACTGCGCTCTTCGCACTCCAAACTGAAACTTCACACTCCACACTTCACACTCCACACTTCACACTTCTCACTTTTCACTGCTTCCTTCTTCCTTCACACT